TATATATATATATATATATATATATTAAATAAAACATGTATATATGTATACATGGTAAATATTTATCATGAGATACATATTATTAACAATTTAATGTACAAATTATACATAAAATTAAATTTTGTTAATTTGATGTATATTTATATGACAAAAAATACTCAATATATAATTTTAAAAAATTTAAAATTAATTATCGGCTCAGCAATTAACCTGGTGACCCAATTGAACCGATGACCCAGTGACCCGGAGACCTGCTCGAATTGACTATCGGGCCGGATTTAAAAACTATATTCTTGACCTCAATTGGATAATAATTAATTATTCATTATATCCCAACTAACTAATTGTCTCAACTTCCCAAAAAATAGTGAGTTTCTCAAAATTAAAAAGAAAAAAAATACAAATACTCCCGTTAGACTGTCTAATCACAAATGTCATACTACTTTCTTGTAAAAAATATATTTATATCGTATGATATATTTTTATATATTTATTAAAATATGATATTTAAGTGTGAAACAGTGAAAGTATATATATACATGATTACATATCATTATTTTTATGAAATATTATATTTTTATATATTTATTAAAGTATGATATTTAAGTGTGAAAGTATATATATCTAATGTTTGACAGAGAATCGACTAATAGAAAAACCACAAATATATATATATAGAATCATTTTCTATTTAGAATTCATAAGTTGAAATCCTTAAATTCTATGCAAAGACCAAAAAACACCTAATTGATTACATTTATAATTAATTTTGCATACCACAAAATGGTGTAAATCTATAGCATTGTGGGCAAAGGAATATTTTATTGTTTATGAACAGAATATTATAGCTGTGTTTCCCTATATTGAAGTCTATTATACTTCAACAAATTTTAACAAAACGTTAAAAGGTAGAATGGTGTTAGGCAAAAGATAGATAAGTTTAAAAAAAATAAAAAATAAAAAATAAAATTTATAAGAATTTTTATTGGCACCAAATAAACATATTCTATAAAAAAACAAACCTATGAAAGTTGGGTGAAACCTAAAGCACCCAAACTAGGAATTTACTTGAAATTAACCACAAATGTCACACTCAAATGAATGATTTTTTTTTTTTTTTTTTATTAAATCTTGAAAACATATGGTTTGATAGTTTGGTATAATTTAATGTGGTAAAGAGTTTCAATTGGAAAAAATGTCTTCATGGTGGGTATCTATATGATGTAGCTTCTAGGAGCTCATGGCATCTGTAGGAAACGGGGGAAAAACAGGTCCGGTTCCACGCACGTGAAGTATACCATAAGTAGAGAAAGCTCAAGTGAGGTTTCATATCAAAACCAATTGGTAGAAGGAGGAGTATCTCACTAGACTTATAAATTAGACTTATTTTTACTGTATAAACGATGTGGGACAACTCACAAATGATATTCTAACACGTCCCCTCACTTGTAAGTCTTTCATAAGAAGCTCAAGCCCATATACGGAGCCGGGTGTCCAAGTCTTACTAGAAATAGGCTGGGTAAACGGATACGCCATCCCACGGTCTCAATAGAACCGGCTCTGATACCATGTAGGAAACGAGAATAAGAAGTGTGTTCCCACGCACGTGAAACGCACCGTAAGTGCGTGGGACCGCACCATAAGCAGGGAAAACCCAGATAAAGCCCAAGTGGGGTTCTATTCCCAATATAATTAGGCCACTAGACTTATAAATTAGGCTTATTTTCCCTATATAAACGATGTGAGATAACTAACAAATGATATTCTAACAACATTAATGTAGTTTTGTAAATAATTTATTTGGGGAGTTTTTTATATTTTTTTTTCTTTTCTTTTTGGAGAATGATATAGTTTATCAAATTTTAGAGGGCGGCTATTCGAAGAATTTGAATCAGAATTTTTTAGAATTCTCTATCTTTGCCAAAAACATCCATTTACATATAAATTAACAAATTTTTGGTGAAAATAAGTGTAAGAAATTGGGGAAAAAACGGGTATGGTATCACTAACATGAAGCGCACCTAAGCGGGGAAAGCCCATATGAAGCCCAAGTAGGGTTCCATCCCAAAACCAATTGATTGAAGGAGGAGTAGCTCATTAAACTTATAAGGTGGGTCTATTTTCCATGTATGAACAATGTGGGACAACTCACAAGTGATATTCTAACACGCCCCTCACTTGTGAGTCCTTCGGAAGCCCAAGCCCAACTGGGTGCCCCAAGCCTATTAGAAGTAGACTTCCATAAACGGGTACGTGGGGAAGCAGACTCCCATAAATGGATGCGAGAAGCTCAAGCCCAGCCCAACTGGGTGCCCCAAGCCTACTAGAAGTAGACTCCCATAAACGGGTACGTGGGGAAGCAGACTCCCATAAACGGGTATGACGGTCCCAATAGAACCGACTCTGATACCATGTAAGAAACTGGGGGAAAAACGAGTGTGGCCCCACTAACATGAAGCGCACCAAAGCGGGGAAAGCCCATATGAAGCCCAAGTGGGGTTCAATCCCAAAATCAATTGATT